AAGAGCATGTCTAATTTATATAACTCTGGTTTATCCTGGGATACAACGAGAAATCCAGTGGAGGAAAGATGGCATGTTATGGCACCAAACCACTCAGGGGGCCCATCAAACTTTTCATGAGCTGACCCACCCTGAATATGAAGAGAGAAAACCAGCACACAGCAACACCATAACAAACAACCAAGTTCAAAATTGCAACGTCTTTATATTCTTGGAACCACCTTCTAAAAGATAACTTAACCCCAAAGAAAGTGATTAAATCCAAAAACACAAGCAAAGGTGAGATCTTGGACTGAAGACCTGCAGGGCCTGACCCAGCAGCTCCCACATTTTGGATCATGGCCCTCAGCCCTTCCAATCCCTTTATGCATCACCTACAACTTCAGCAGAGCTGCACAACCCTCATAACTTAGGCAAGAACTCAGTGTTGTGTCTATTCTCAGCAAAGGAAGAGGCAAGAATATCCAAGAATATCCATTAATTTTTTTTTCCCACCAATAATGGCTGGAACGTGAAGCAGGAAAACACCCTGAGCCTGCTGCTTTCCAGCTTTTCCTCAAGAGGAGAATCCCACATGGGTCCAAGGACACAAATTAACAGAGTCAATGCAAACCCAGCAATACTTCCAGCCTGGCCTGCTGAGCTCACCACAGGAGTGTCTTCCATCACTTCCCTACTCCCATATTCCCTCCCTGCACGATCAGAACGGCATTTGTTTTAAAGTATAATGGCCTAAGTGTCAGCTGCCAGCAAGATAAGTGATCAAATATTTCCTGGATCAGCGGCTTAAGGATGGAATAATATTTATTCATCCATCCAGTCCATCTCCTTCCATGCAGGAGGCAGCAGGGAATGATGGTCCCTTCCAGCAGATCACAGCGGGCAGCTGAGCAGAAGAGCTGCCCTGCTGACTCCAGAGCCTTGTTTCCAAAACCTCCACCCTGACCCCCAGGCACCAGGCCAGGGGAGATGTGACCCTGAGCCACCAGCCCTGCAGAACATCTTCCATCCAAGGCTCTCTGTGAGCTCTACACAACCCCGACCAACCACCCAACCAGCATTTTTCAGAGAAGATTATTTAGCTTCATTCCAAGTAGCTTGTCTTGATGTTCAAGTGAAACCTAGTTGCACCTTCTTGCAAAGGCTAAGAGATTATCTTTTGAGTACCCACAACTGAAAGCGCTGGTGTCTTTGCTTCTCAAATTATCTACGTTAAGCATTTTTAACCACTCCCCAGAAATGCCCCTCTGCTCTCCCAACCAGCTCTTTCCCTTCCCTCAGAAACTTTCGAAGGGCAGGTGTCCCATATTTAAGCCAGGGAGCCAGAGGCACCCACACTGCACATGTAAAGCTTGTTATTCTTCCATTCCTAACTGGAATATCATGGCCAACTGAGCTCTCTGGTGTCACTGCTTCCCTGCAGCCCTGCCCCACCACGGGCCCTCCCCTTGTTCCAGCCCCATGACTGCGGGTGCTCCTTCACACCCAGTTCACACGTTAACCCATCATTCATTTTCTTCTCCCATTCCCACTCCTCAGTCTCCTCAGATTGTTCTGCACCAGCGCTCTGCCTGCCCAGGGACAGCTTATTGCCAATAACTGCAGACACACGAGTTTCACACCATGAAAAGGTAAAACCCACTGAGCTTTGTTCCCTCCTCAGCTGGCATCACCCCGGCTTCTCTATCACACTAACCCCAAGCAGAAATGTTTGCTCTGGTACCATCAACATAAAGGTACCTCTGTGGTGATATCCAATATCTCTGGGATCACCACTGTGCCCCAAACCACTCCTCAGCCTCCCAAGCAGATTGAATTTCAGCCTGAGCGACACAAAGGAGGATATTGTGGCTATCTGATGGGCAGAAAGGGGGTTTGGGGTTTACAGTTCCTGAGAGTTTTCAAACAGTCACAGGGAAATGTGACAGAAAGTAAACATCTTGCCGCTGAAAACAGCTCAGAATAAAACTGACATCCCATTTTTGTCAGACTCTGTCTTTGTTTCAGATCCATAATCACTGAAAGAAACAGATCTCCAACTCAGTTGTCCAAGCAAAGGAATGCCCAGCCCGTGTTTTCAGAGTTAGCTGTCAGGTTTTTGTTTAGCATTCTGCACCGGTCCTACGCTCTGGCTCGCCTGGAAATTTTAAATGCAAATGTATTTGCAGGGTGGCATGTGAGAACAATATCAGAATTTTACCTCACACAGCAGCTCCTCGCTCGGTTCCATTCAACTCCCCTTTCCTCCTTCCCTAATACAGAGATTTTGCAACTACTAAAAAAAGAAGGCTGAAACAAGAAAATCTTTACCTATTATTTTTTCCTACTGAAAGACTTTCCCAGGCCCCTCTGCTAAAACAAACCTAAACAAATCTAAACCACAGTTTAAATAACGCTTTAAAATCGCCTACGACTCCAACCTGAGACGTAGAGCAGGCAAGCAATTTCTTTAATAGCAGGGAATAACAGCACTTGATTCAAATCATCCCCACACAGTATTTTCCATCTTCCAAGGGCTAAATGAGCACTAGGCAATTAATCACTGTTTTATCCACACCCCAAACTCGCCAGTGGTATCCTAAGGAACCAGGGGAGAGGCAAACACCTCCGAGAGGATGTGCTGCTGGCCAAGGATTTGTCATCTGCCCCTCCTCTTTGTGCTCAGTGTCAACGGGCCACAGATGAAGGCAGATAATTACCAGCTCTCATAACTCAACAGTTCCTTGAGAGGCTGTGACAGGGCTGTTGGAGAGGCGAGTTTTTCACTGACCTTACAACGAAGGCATTTCTCGAGCAGTGACGTTGGACCACTTCAAACAGGGCTCAGTGATCAGAACCAGAGCTCATCCTTTTCCTGCTGGTGGAAGGATGTTGTTGCCCACACGTGGGACCAGCCACTCGTGCAGACCCAGGCACGACCCAGGCACAGCTCAGCAGTTTGTGCTGAGCTCCACGGGATCAGAACACATTCTAGAAATTACAGTGCCTCCGTGCTGCAGCAGCAGAGCCTCCAATCCTCCCTTTAAACACCGGCTTTTTGGGTTGCATTTGTGGTTTATTATCAAACACACGTGCAAGAGTGATACTTTAAAGGATAATAAAGAAGCAGGCACAAGTGATCAAGCCTCCAGCTCTGGACCAATCCACCTTGTTGCAGTTTACATCCATGGCAATATTTAACTCCATTGTTGAAAGAGGAAATACTATTTTTAGCCACTACCTATTACTTTTGTTCTGAGATTAGGTGCCACATGGAGTTCTGTTACTGATCTTGCATTTTTTTCATATGCATTTACAGAGCTGTTCATTAATCCTGATGACTTCTATATTGAAAAAAAAAAATTAAAGCAATTTTACTGGCGTGCTTTATCGCAGCTAGAATTTACAACTGTAATTCTATCTGTTGTAAAAATTAAAAGGAAATGCCTCCAGAATGGAAGTGGTATGAGGTCTGACTGCAACCCAAGGTTCAGATTTTTTGAAGTGCTCAGGGCTTGATTTTCTTAAGCACTGAAGATTCAGACCTTGGGTTACACAGATACGTCTCCCTCACTGTCCCCCAAAGCACCCTGGATATAAGACTTTGAAAACTGAAAAGAAAAAGACCTGAAAATCCAGCAATTTTCTCTGGAGTGTAAGCACAAGCCTAGGAGTGTTTGAAACCTGGCTCTGTCTCGGGTGATGAGCAAGTACTTCTGGAAACTCCTCTTACACTGTCTGCTCTCTAATGTCTTTTTTACTGTGCATCCAATGGGAACGTGTCTTAATTCCATATTCCTTCCAGACTCTTCCCCTAATTAGATTGTTGATGAGAAAGAGAAGGATGAAGCATTAAGTCATTCAATCAATGGTGTATTATATAAATATGAAACCCCTGTCAATACATAATCCATAGTAAGTCCCATATTACTCGTCTACCCCAGAGGAACCAGAGTATTCACCTGACTCCCAGAACAAAGTTTTACCTCCACTCTGGCTCCAGAAGTTACAAAGAACAGTTTTGCCAGGCAGCACCACAGCTCCACATCCAGCTGTGCTTTAGATGCCAGGTGGGTCCACTATCCTACAGCTCTCCTACACTGAACTACTTATTTTATTCAAGTTGTAAGAAAGCTGCCTAATCACCACCTAATTGTCGTCTCTTCCCTAAAAGCTAATAGGTGCGTGAGACAGAATAAATTACAAGTATTTATTTTAAACGAAGCATCAACATTTAGCTTTAGACCTGTCTTTCCATTATTCATCAACGTGCTAGTAAACACATTGTTTCCTGCAATTTACCATGAGATGCCTACAAGTACACTGCCTGGAAACGGTGAACATCACAAGAGCTAAATCATTTCCTCGAACCTTTTTCTAAGGCTCTTCTCTGTTGTTGCTTTTACAATATCAAAACACTGGCACACATCCACTTCAATGTATTCCTGAAGAACACGAAGACACCGGACCTTTACCAGCCATCGCTTACGAGCTGCCAAAATTAACAAGGACCGCACACGCACACACAGAGAAAGGGACAAGCCCATCTCCTGCAGGAGCTGTCGGAGATCGTGCACTCACTCCAGGGTGGAAACATGCAAAATCATCCTGCAAAAACCATCTCGCCCAGGCACGGAGGGTCTTACTTGCGCGAACAAGGCTTACACAGCTCCCAGCCCCCAGGAATCACATCGGGAGCCAACTCCAGCTACCTGAGATCGCTATTTCAGACTGGAAGAGAAGGAGAGCAGCGTCTGCACGAACGCCGATCGGAATATTCACGCAGGGAGCAGAACCCGCGAGCCCGAGCTCCAGCATCCACAGGGACCATCGGAGCGCCGCAGCCGCAAACAAAGCCGGGAGCCCCCCGAGCCCACCCCTCTCACCGGGAGGTGCCCGGGGCCGCTCCCCGGGCGGGGAAGGGCACAGGGTCAGACCCTCTTTGCCTCCCCCCCCCCCAATTCTGCGGGGCTCGCAGAGCCGGCGGTGGCATCGCCCGGTTCCCCCCGAGCCCCACTCACCGCGCACGACCCCGGGCAGCGCCGCCGGGGGCAGGAGCCGGAGCGCCCTCCTTACAGCCCCGGGAGGGTGCGGGGGGCGCCGGGGGGCCCTGCCCTGCCCAGCCGCGTCCCCGGGGCTCGGAGCGCTGCTCCGGGCTCCCAGCGATGCTGAACGCGGCGGCCGCGCCGGCGGGGCGGGGACGGGCGGGCCGGGGACGCCCCCGCCGCCGGGAGGGGCACGGGGAGGGACCCGCCGATACGGCAGGACCGCAGAAATCCCGAATGTGCCCAGCCCCGCCCCGGCAGGGCACGCCCGGACACCCGCGGCGGGGGCTGTGCCCGCTCCGGCCGGGCATTGTCGTGGCAGCCCCCCGGCTTGTCACAGAACCACGGGATGTGCTGAGTTGGAAGGGACACGCAAGGATCATCCAGTCCAACTCCTGGCCCCGCACAGGACCATCCCCAGAGTCACACCCTGTGCCCCAGAGGATCATCCAAACCCTCCTGGAGCTCTGGCAGCCTTGGTGCTGTGCCCACTGCCCTGGGGAGCCTGGGCAGTGCCCAACCACCCTCTGGGGGAAGAACCTTTTCCTGAGATCCAACCTGACCCTGCCCTGACACAGCTCCAGCCATTCCCTGGGTCCTGTCCCTGGTCCCACAGAGCAGAGCTCAGTCCCTGCCCCTCCTCTGCCCCTGCCCAGGGTGTTGGAACTGCAATGAGGTCTGCCCTCTGTCTCCTCTGCTGCAGCTGAACACACCATACAGCTCCTCATACTCCTCACACGGCTTCCCTTTACCACCTTCACTGCCCTCCTTTGGACGCTCTCTGATAGCTTAATAATATCTTTCTGATAGCCCGGCTGAGGGGCCCCTTCCCTGCTCCAGCCAGGGGAACAAGGGAGGAGCAGGCAGGCAGCCCCACACACCCTTCATGCCTACCAGGAAGGTGCAGGTGGAGCAGGAGCACATCCACACGTGTCCAGCGAAGGTGCTGTTTCTCCAGGAGACCCGATGCTGCTCCAGCTGCTCCAGCGCCGGAGGAGCTGGAAGGCCACTGGGAAGCATCACCCCTTCTTCTGTCAGCACATGGAGAGATCCACAGCAAAAACTTGTGGTTTTGCCAGAGCTGCAGTTCGTAGATTTGCTCTGAGTTACGGGATTTTAAGTGCACCCTGCAGGGATTCAAACCAAAGGAAGTTTTACACAAATCAACTCTGCCTCGAGTTGCAGCCACATGGAATCATAGCTCGGTTGGGGTGTCTGGCAGGCACGTTGGTTTCCTACCTGCCTGAGGGAGTGACAGTGCCAAGAAGGCTCAAATGGTGGCTGTGTTTGGGTGTTAATGGCACAATTTCATGTCACAGTACCATAGGCTTCAACACATGGAGTCTCCTGATCTCAGAAGGGGCTGCTTGTGCTTCACAACCTGCCCCTTCCAGGCATACCATAACGATTTGATCTAGTTTATGTTCAAACTGTAATGACTTTGAATGGTGGCATCGGTGAAGGAATGAAGAGGAGATGAAGAGAAGCAAGGATTCTACAAAGGAGTCCTCCTTGGCAGCCTTCAGGTGAAATAATTGCTGTTGAAGTGCAACAAAGTGCCCAAGTGTCTTTATTTTCTGTCTGCAAAGAAAACAGCAGCAGTGTGTGAGCTGTCACTGGGTCATTGTCACACCTGCAGAACTCATGGTGCCTTTTGTGATTAAATGGTGAAACCACCAAGTTCGTGACTGAGTAGGCCAAGAGTCATGTAGGCTATAAAGCTATAATCCTGCATAAAAAAAGCCACGATTTTTCATCAGCTTAACTGACCCAGAAATCTGGGGAACACAAGTTTGCCCTTCTAGTCTTTGTGGAGGAATGAAAGGAATGTCCCCGACTGCCCTTGTCCCTGAATGCAAAGAAGAGTTAATCTTAGAATCAGGGAGCAGTTTCTTCTCCAGATCTGGCATTTTTTTTCCAACAGTAGGTCCAGAGGACAAACTAAAGCCCCTGGAAGAGACATTTTCATCATCAGTCTGTTTTCTTTTAAGTTGTATCTGTTTTAAAAATCTAAACCAAATGATTAAAACACAATTATGTAACACGCAAAGGAACCTGAGTTGAGTCTTTGATCCACAAGTGTTACAGAATCACTATTGAGAGATGCTTTTTTTAGTAGGAACTGGTATCTGAATTTGTCATCAGAAGCCTCAAATACATTCATTTGTTTATTCAACAAAGCAGAGATGTGCAGGTTACATTCTCTCTGGAAGTTTTCCAAAAGCTTTGCTTTAAAAACTACAAACAGGCATAAAAATGAGAGAAATTGGTGCTTTCAATTAATTCTAATGCTGACTACCAGGATCATAGCCACAGCTGAATGAGCAACCTCTCTGCACCTCTCCACAGCCCAGCTGGCTTCCATCAGAACTAGCATGGAAAACAAAACTTCTCTTAGGAACCTCTTGCAGGATCAGAGCCTCATTTTCCAGGATTAATTTGTACATTATGCTGGGTAAGTGAAATATCACCCCACTACGGTATCTTGCTGTGAGAAATATTTAGTTAAGCTAAGTTTTCACAACAGCAAAAAAACTCCACAGGATTCAAATTAATCCTGGTGCCAGATGGAGTCACATCAGTCAGAATAATTTGCTAACAGCCAGAGGAATCCAGTTGCATCAGAAAAAGACTCACATCTACTCAGGTCTGATCCTGAGTGGCACAGTAAAGGCTGAGGTGAGCAGTGAGAGCACCTCTAGAAGTTGTGCTGAGCCAGGCTGCCAAGCTCCAAGGCAGCTCTGCAAGAAACCTGGTCCTCCACATGTTGTTGGAGACCCTGGTGCTCATACTCTCAGGCTGCCAAAGCAATAGGAGACTGGTAAAATTAGTTTTCAGCAAGTATTTCCTGGTGCCTGATAAGCTGAACTGGCACATTTTTCAGGTGTCTCAGCTATGGCAGCAGAAAGAATATGTAGGGCTTTGGGAAACATGGGGTGATAGCTATTAGTGCTTTTTTTTTGTGTCCTCAGCAGTTCACAGTCACCAAATCAAGGCAAACCTCCTGCCTCCTGAAGTAAAAGCTGCACGACAAAGCTGTGGATGGAAGGAAATTCGCCCCAGAACAAGCACAGGAAACCACAGAGCGGCAGAAAGGATGAGTGAATGGAAAAAGGTTGATGTCCTGAGAGCGGGTGAAGGCTGTGGAAAACTACCAGAGTGTCCTCTGCTGAGCCGTGGCATGGCCACTCCAGGCAGCCTCATTCCACAGGCATTACTGGAGGCACGAATTTCCCTCCATCTGCAAGAACAGTAACTCACAACCAGCCCTTTTTCTAAACAGCGAAGAGACAAGAGCAGAGACAGCTCAGTTTTCACCAGCTGGTTAAAATTAATAGGAGGGCGGATTTACTTTGCTGCACACGGTTACTGGGCTTGTGTGCACACTTGTTTTACACCTCCCTGCTGCTCCAGCTCCCCAGATGGCACCAGGGGTTGTTGGCAGAGGAGCTGAGGATGGTGGAGCTCAGGGGAAGTGAAGAGGAACCATAATCACACCAGTTTAAATAGGGTTTGTACTACAAAGGCACAACTGCAGACAGTGGAAAAGGAAACCCACCTGGGAAACCAAATGATTAAATAACTTCCTCAACTGTAGCACAGCTGAGATAAAGACCTCTAACTTCTGGTTCTTGATGGAGCTGTAGGGTGTTTGGCTTCCTTCATAACCTGAATGGCTTACAAGTGGGGTGCTTGTCTCAGGCTTCTTCCCTCCTCTATCCACAAAGTAATTACCTCCTATTTAACTTATCATGGGAAGCCTTTTCTTTATTGTTTCTTGGCTAGTGAAATTGTTCACTGTAGATGTTTTTTCATCTGAAAAGGAAAGATCTTCTCTAATTAAAGATGCCCTCAGGCAACTGTATCTTACTTCTTCTTTTTTTATGAGCTGTTGGTTTTAGCTATCGGCCTTAGATAATACAAGTGTTTAGGAACAGAGTGGAAATCTTGATTTGCAACATAAGGGGTAATAATTTGTTTTTCTGTAATGTCTTTTATCCAAGAATACCAAATGCTTCACTAATGTTAATTAATTGGCTCTCTCAAAGCATCCAGTTGAGATGCTGATAACTATTTGGCAAAAGGGGTAAAACACCAAAATACACCTCAGGGCACTTACAACAGGAGAGATGTAAAAGCAGGTGTGAGCTGATGAAGGGCACGTAGCAAATCAGTGAAGTACCATCTCATGTTGCTTCTCAGAGGTCCCAGAACTTTCCAGCCTCAGGATATCTCCAAGTGTTCTGATGAGTTAAATATAAGTACAGCAGGAGATGATCCCTCCTCCTGTGTTCATCTTCTCCTGGAAACTAACCAGGGTTGGGTAATTTTCAAATACCAGAAATCCAGGCTGGAACTTTTCACGCAAATCAGGGAATTAGGTTATAGGACTTCTCTGGCCATCCCTTCCTAGATTTTGGGTGATGAATAAATTGGGACTGCTGTTTGCCTTGCTACTTAGTGGTTGCCACACTCCGTGCCAGGGCTGGCTGCATTTCCCCAGTTGCAGAAGGGATTCTTGCATCTCATATCATTAAAAAGTTGAAGTGCTAATGGTCTTTGTCAAGAGGAGATGTCTCTGGCTAAAGAGCCCACACCTATAATTTGCAGGAATTTCAGGTTTTTACAAAAATATTTTCATTTTGATATTTTTCAGTTTATATTTTCTGATTTGTTTCTATAAACAATTTGTTTATTACACTGCTGAGTTTATTACACACTCTCTCCCTTAGGAGAGTCTCTTTCTTTTTAAAGTACAGTTTTTAATACCCTGAAGATCAAACTCACAGCAGCCCTATATAATAGATTTTAAGTGTTAATAGCAGCACATTAGTAATGCTGCAGGGAATAATATCTTCCTTAATATCCATTCATGGAAATGACTTTAATAAATAACATTATGACTCTGATGCTGGACTAAAAGTAATAAAGTTATACATTCACATATTTGCTCCCTTATACCCACTGTTGCAACAGTTCTTCAAAAAAAAATTACCATAAAGAGATTTGAAATTTCTGTAACATTCCAACAGTGTATCCTATTTGTCTTTGCACAGCCACTGCTGTTTCCAAATAACAAA